CGCCGCCCGCCCCGGCACCCGCCTGGCCCGTGACCTCGGCATCAATGACACCGACATGGTGCTCTTCGGCACCTTCGCCGAGAGCCAGCCGGAGAGCCGGGTGCCGCGGAAGGACTCTGCTGTCTGCGCCTTCCCCCTCCGCCTCCTCAACCAGGCCATGGAAGAGGGCATGGAGAAGTGCTGTGGCACTGGGCACCAGCCACTGCTGCGGGGGCTCAGCTTCTTCCAGCCAGCGGAGTACTGCCCGCACAACGTGAGTCCTCTGCCCTGCACCGTGTCCGTCCCGGGGGGCCTGGGGGTCACCTGGCATGTGAGGAGGTGGATCTGGGATGCTGGGAAGCACTGGTAAAGCAGGGTGGACTGGGGGGCAGGTTGGGCAGGGGGAGAGCAGTGGCGCCCAGGTGTGAGTCAGCCCCAGCACAGGGGCCACTGCGTTTCGCCAGCCCCCGGCCATGCCAAGGAGGTAGGGTGCTGGCAGGGATCTGGCCATGCTCCCCACCCTGGGCACCCTGTGTTCGCCGGAGCTGTGTGCCGCAGACACGTGTCCCGTCACATGGGTACACCACCGCTTGCCATGCACCATGCCAAAAGTCCCTCTCCTTGGTGTGGCTGCCCCAGGGAGCACTGGCTCCAGCCCCCGCGGTGACTGTCCCCAGTGCCAGGTTGTTGATGGCCCTCTCCAGCTTGTTGGGGGATGGGGAAGCCGCAGGACCTCGATGCTCCTGGGGCTGGGGTGCGGGGGGTGCCCGGCCGCTCCCACCTTGCCCCCCTGGCCCCAGGGCCACCGCCTTCTCTGGGCAAACAAACCACAAGCGGAAGTGCAATTAGTCACCAGGGTTTCTTGTCTGCCACAGCTGTGGGGCAGGAACACCGTGTCCCAAGGACAAGCTCCGGCATAGCCAGGATGGGGACGGGCAGGCACCCTGGCAGAGCCCTCTCTGCAGGCAGGGTCCCAGCAAGCTCCCGTGACAGGAGTTGTGGTGTTCTCAGCCAGGCACGGGGTGAGGCACAGCCAAATCCTCTCCTCTTCCCACCCACGGAGCAGACAGCTCACTGCTGCTGACTCACGCTGCCAGCAGGGCGAGCCAGGAGGGGACCCCTGGCCCTGAGTATTGGTGGGGGCCCAGTGGAGCCCCCCCAGCTCCTGGTATCTCCCTTCACCCCCCTGCTGAGCCCTGGGTGTTGGGGAGGGCTGGCTTCAGGGTGCCCACCCCGCAGTGCCAGCACCCAATAACCACATCCAGATGGGGTGGGAGGGGAGGGCAGGATCTGATGCCACACAGGGTCTGTGGGAGGGGCCACAGATGTGCTTTTTCTCAAAAAAATTTTGCAGCTGGGAGGGGAGTTTGGGCAATCGGGTACTCCCCAAAATATCTTGCGCCTGGAGCTGGTGCCCACCTGTGATGGCGTGGGGGGTCAAGGTGCCAGGGCTGACTTTGAGGCATCCATCCCGCGCTTGGCTGCAGGTGAACCTCTCGGCGCCGGTGGCCAACACCAGCTGCTGGGACCAGCCCACCCTCGTCCCTGCCACCTCCCATAAGGTGGACCTGTTCAACGGGCACCTGGCCGGTGTCCTCCTCACTTCCATCTTTGTCACTGCCCTGGGGGACGTCACCGTGGCCCACCTGGGCACGGCAGAGGGACGCATCTTCCAGGTGGGACGGGGAACCAGGAGGGGTGGGAGGTGCCCAGCGGGGCATGGAGTCATGCTCAGCCCCCCACTCTGCCCCACTGCAGATGGTGCTCCAGCGCTCCAGCTCCTACCTCCTCACCTTGGCCAACTTCTCCCTGGGGGAGCCAGGGCCGGTGAGGGCTGCCATGGGGCTGCAGAACCACTCGCTGTTCTTCACTGCTGGCACCAAGGTGAGTGGAGGTCCTGGGGGGTGTGGGGCAGGTGCTGAGCCCCTCACACCCACTCGCCTCCACTCTCCATCCCCAGGTGTGGCGCCTGAACATCACTGGCCCTGGCTGCCGCCACTTCTCCACGTGCCAGCGCTGCCTGCGGGCCGAGCGCTTCATGGGCTGCGGCTGGTGCGGGGACAGGTGCACACGTCACCACGAGTGTGCTGGCCCCTGGGTGCAGGAAAGTTGCCCACCCGTCCTTACTGACGTAGGTCTGCGCCACCATCCCCCCGTACCCCATATCTCCTGGGCACTCGGATGGGGAGGGAGGTGACATGTGGGGTGGCACGTGGTGGGACCTTTCTTTGCTCCGTCCAGAGACCCCCTCTGCGGGATGAGTGTCGTGTCCCCCGGGGAAGGGGCTTTCCAGACCCATGACTGTCACCAGGCTTTTGGGGCTTGGGGCAACACGGGTACCTCTCCTGCAGTTCCACCCCCGGAGTGCCCCGCTGCTGGGCCAGACACGGGTGACACTCTGCGGCGGCCGGGGCTGTCCCCCTGGACTGGGCCTGACCCCCCCTATCACCACCCTGCAGACCCCTGCCCACCTCCCACCGCAAGGACTTTGTGGATGTGCTGGTGTGTGAGCTGGAGCCAGGGGGCCCGACAGCAGTGGGGGGCCTGGCCAACGTGGTGCTCACCGTGAAGGAACCCACTGGATCCTCCAGCTTCCGCGTCCATGGTTCGGACACGCTCAGTGGCTTCGAATTCGTGGTATGGCCCCGCACCAGTGGTCACCCCTGGCAGGGTTTGGGGGGGGATTGGCTCACCCACCCACCCCACTGACCCTGTTTCTGCCCAGGACCCCCGCATCAGCAACCTGCACCCCCTGTTTGGCCCCCGCAGGGGTGGCACCCCCCTCTCCCTGCACGGCACCCACCTCTGGGCAGGGAGCAGCTGGCGGGTGATCGTCAACGGCTCCGAGTGCCCCCTGGCCGGGCAGCCCAGGTATGCCCCTGTCCTGCCCCCGCTGGGCACAATGGGGTCCCTGGCATGGGGACAGGCGTGGGGACCACCCCCGCAGTCCCATGGTTACCTCCAGCCATGGCTGCCGTTTCCCCAGGCAGGGTGACAGGGCAATCCAGTGCATGGCTCCCGCCGCCAGTGGCCTGGGCGCAGCCAGGGTGGCCCTGTGGATCGACGGGGAGGAGTTCCTGGCCCCCCTGCCCTTCCACTACCGCCCTGACCCCTTCGTTTCGGCTGTTGTCCCCAGCTGCAGCTATGAGTGAGTGCGTGGGCTCCCTTCCCCTGGTGGGGATGGCCCCAGCCTCCCCACCATCCTGGCTGGCGTGGGTGAGGTCTGGGGACCACATGCATCCTGGGGACCACATGCATCCCGGGGACCATGTGCACCCAGGGACTGCATGCTCCCCAGGGATCATGTTAATCCTGGGGCCACATGCATGCACCCTGGGGACCATGTGCACCCCGGGGCCCTGACCCCTGCCCTCTGCAGGGGCTCAATGCTCACCATCATCGGCACCCACCTGGACTCTGTGTATCGTGCCAAGATCCACTTCGAGGCCAGCGGCGTTAGGACTGAAGCCACGGTAAGTGCTGGGGCAGGAGGCCGGCACCCCCCTGACCCTGCCCTGCCTTCCTCAATCCCCTGGGCACTGTGCTGCACCAATGCCCAGCATCCCGCTGCCCACAGGATTGTGAGGCCCCACAGGCACCGGAGCGGCTGCTGTGCCACAGCCCAGCCTTCCCCTTCGAAAGCAAGGTGGAGACGGCGCCAGGGAACCTAAGTGTGATGCTGGATGGTGCCACTGGCCGCTGGCTCTTCCGCCTCCGCTACTACCCCCAGCCCAAGATCTTCCCCTTGGAGCAGGAGGGCAGGAGCCTCCGCCTCAAGCCTGGCGACGATGAGATCGAGGTGCACGTATGTAGGGCAGCAGGGTGAGCCAGGGTGGGAGTTCCTGCTGCTGGGACCTCCAGGCTCAGGGCGCTGTGTCTGGGCAGCAACTGGGGCTGGATGCCGTGGCCGCCTGCATGAACATCACCATGACGGTGGGGGGCTGGGACTGCCACCCCAACGTGCTGAAGAACGAGGTGACGTGTCGCCTGCCTCGCGAGCTGCGCCTGCCCCCGGACGGGGCCCCCGTGGAGGTAGGCGCCCCCCAGGTGGGTGACCCCCCTTCAGTGTCCCCATCCCATCCCCACTGAGCCCCTGCTCCCCCAGATCTGTGTGAATGGTGCCTGCAATGCCGTGGGCTGGGTGCTGCCTCCCGCCGCCTCGATGGACCTGGCCGCGAGCCTGGCCCTGGGTACGGGTGTCACCTTCCTGGTCTGCTGCGTCCTGGCCATCGTGCTGCTCCACTGGCGCTGGAGGAAGCAGGGGGGTGAGTGCCACACTTGCCGGGCGCCCCACTGCCCCATGGCCCCCTCCCCTGCCACCCCTTGCCCACCCTGCTGCTGCCCACAGGGACAGAGAACCTGGAGCTGCTGGTGCAGCCCAGCCGCAGCAACCCCCCCGCCACCATGCAGCGCCCCGGCGTTGACTACAGGGAGGTGCTAGGTAAGTGGGTGTCACCAGCAGGTGGCGGGGTGCTGGGTGCCTTCCCAGCCCTCACCCTGCCTCTGCCTGTCCCGGCAGTGCTGCCTGCGGCAGGGAGTCCCAGCCCTGTGGGGCTCCGGCCACACTTTGCCAGTGCCAGCATGGCACGCGGTGGCTCCCCCGTGGCCCTGCTCAGGGCCACATCCTGCTGCCTGGAGGACCTGCGGCCAGAGCTGCTGGAGGAGGTGAAGGACATGCTCATCCCTGAGGAGCAGCTCATCACCCACCGCCACCGGGTCATCGGCAAAGGTGATGCTGTGCCCTGATTTGGCTGTGGCATTTCCACTCCTCCATGTGCAGTACCAGCCTCATGCTGGCTGTCTCCACAGGGCACTTCGGCAGTGTCTACCATGGCACCTATATGGACCCACTGCTGGGGAACCTCCACTGCGCCATCAAGTCCCTGCACCGTGAGTAGCACTCTCTCCCATGGCGCAGTCCCAGGGCACGGCATGGTAGTGGGGTGCCCCATGGCTCGGCTCTTGGCAGGCATCACGGACGTGGAGGAGGTGGAAGAGTTCCTGCGCGAGGGCATCCTCATGAAGAGCTTCCACCACCCCCAGGTGCTCTCACTTCTGGGGGTGTGCCTGCCCCGCTATGGGCTGCCCCTTGTTGTCCTGCCCTACATGCGCCATGGGGACCTGCGCCAGTTCATCCGTGCCCAGGAGCGGGTATGGGGGCACCTTGGG